CTGTTTGTCACCATGTTCTCACCCTGGGAGACTCCTCCCTAACTGAAGCTGCAGTCAGCTTGTCAGCCTGGGAATGGAGCTGAGAGTCAGGAGAAATCCAGGCCTGGAAGGAATTTCCAAGCTGTAATTCCCCAGCTCTCTGAATGTGTGTGTCCACAGGTTCTGCACTGCCCGTCTTCCTCAGAGAGCCAACCTTCCAAAAACCCCTTTGTGATGATGCACAGTTTGAACCCAACAGCAATTTACAAAATTTTAACTAATTTATGTACTTTGCTAATAAGTCCTGAAATGTGCTGAACGCCCTATTTTCAAACAGAATTCTGGGATATTCTTATTCTCAAGCCTGTCTAAAATTAAGGTTTTACTTCACCTCCAGTAATTCTTGAGATAGACAATAGTCCATTCTGAAGGCTACACAAAGTGAAGGAACTTGAGAGTTGTATTTTCTTAAAGTCTGACTTCAAAAAACAGTGAAAAGAGACGCTGTTCAATGAATATATTAAAGAGTGAAATGCTTCAGAATATGGCTTTAAATATCTATATATTCTATACTAACCAATAAGGAGAAGGGTTCCAACAGCTACGCCTCCACCTGGAAACAAAACAAAATGAAGAATAAAGTAAGACTACATTTTAATACTATGTTAGAGAACAATTAACTTTTCTTAGTTTATAAGTCAAAGAAAGGTGATAACGGGGAATTTAAAAATACAAAAGTGAACAACATTTTAATTACCTTTGCAATACTTACTACAATTCTCTATTATGAAATAATTATACATCACATGTAATTATATACTGCACATTACAATTACTTTCACAATATACTGTACTATCATCATTGTGGTAAAAAGATCCTGCAGAGCTCTACACAACCACACTCAAGTACTACAGTGGTGATGTATGGTCTGAGCCAGCAGAATTTTACTCAGATGACTCATGTGAGTAATCATTCTCCAAACTAAATTAATATTAATCACTGTCAAGTGATATTTCTTTGTATCAAGAAGGATGTAACTAATCTGCTAAGATTTTAGTAGATTTTAGCAAATTCCCAGTCAAGTCTTAAAGGCAAAATCTGGGCTCCACTGCTTTGTATCTTAGTGCTGAAAACAGACAAGGCAGCAAGACTTTCACCCATTGAAACCTGGGCTGGGATATCATAAATGTCACAACACACACTGTGAAAAAACACTCACTACTGAAGACTTTTTAGTATCTTTTATAGTAGGTCTTGGACATAACAACTCAATTAATTCCTTTACAAGGATAGTGAAAGGAGAAGTCGTATTTTATTTTAGGGAAAGGACACACTGACTTATAATCTGAATTCCAAGAATTACAATAGTGGAACAACCTGAAATCAAACTATTTTGTTTAACAATTATATAAGACTGTGACAGGAAAGATAAAAACCCCTGAAGTGTTCATATGGCCACATGCAACCAGCCTACATGGAAACTGCAATTTTGTACTGATTGAAAAGCAAGTTAGGAGCAAACCAAATGATGAATCCCATGAGCACAGTATGGAAAGCTCCAGAAGTCAGTTCTGGACTGCTCACATGGACTCCAGTGAACAGGATCTTTCATTTTATACATTTGTAAGAGCTCAATAAACTCCACTAGAAACTGATTCCAATATGAGTTGGATCAACTTCTTAATCTTCAGCTCTGCTAGTGGGACTACAAATGCCTGCAGTAGCTGTAACATTGACAAATACCCAGAAGGAAGAAAAAAAGCAAATTGCTCTCCCATAGGCCAAAAAGTGCTAATTTTTGTTGGATCATAGCACCTGAATTAAAACCAGAGCAGGATCACTTTGCCATCGTGCCATGATGCACCAGAATTTGAGCAGTACCTGGCAGTGGAAGTGTTTAATCAGCTACTAATTTCATAGTTATAGTGAAGCAGATGTTTTAAGCCTAACCTCCTGAGTCAAGATGTATAAATGCCTCAATATCTACAGCAAGATGATCAAGTAATCAAACATTTTCTAGATATCAAAAAACCCCCAAAGAAACCAATTTTAACTGCTGTTTATCAGAAAATTAGAATCACTCATGAAATCCCCATGTTCTAAGCCAATGATTTTTGTTCCATTTATTTGTTCAGGAAATAAATGCAAATGAACCCAAAATATGTACCAGAGGGGAAAGTGTAAAAAAAAGGACCGGAATCTGAAATCCTACTGATGTTTGATACAAAGTATGCTTAATTGTTCAGGGACACAGAACACACAGGGTACTAACAACAGTTGTTAAAATCAGAACATGCTCTATATAGACCATAGTAAAGAAAAGCTCCAGATATTGAGATTTTACCAAATCCTGGGTTGACATAGAAAATATGGTTAAAGCAGCTGTAAGGAATGTATTACCTCGTGGCAATAAGGACCTTAAAACCTTGGTTAGATAAAGTTCACTTGTAGCCACGACAGAAGTAGTCTCTTCTGTTTTTACAGTGAATTTGTTTGTCAAACAGTGCAGCCCAAATTCTCTCAAGCTGTATTTTCAGATGATCAATGGTACAGTTTCTACAAAGCAGAGCTGTAACAGATGTGCATGTATCCTGGTTGCTAAAGGCAAACTCAGGTCAGAGCATTGTCTTCATGTTATCAGATGTAGTGAGTGGTTTAAACAAGTGTCTTCTATTAAAGAGAATGAAAAACTATTGCAGTTTCCATGGTTACATCTTCATATTACAACGAGCAACAATACTAGTAAATTAAACAAAAGGCAGAAAACAGGAAAAAATAGCATGAATGCTGATGGAATCAGAAGGAAGAGGCAAAATCTTTAAGTTTCCCAAGAAAGCTGCTGTGAACTTGTTTTTGTTCCTAATTTTGCTATTTTAATTTTTCTTTGCCACTATCTAAGGCAGTAGAATATATAAACATGTAAGCAAGATTTGTAACTTTCCACATTGCTACTTACAGCAGAGAGATTTAACATCTTATGAAGTACAACAAACTTTGCAAGCTGAGAAATGTACAGATTGTTTTTAAAGCATGTCCCTGACCTTTTTTCAAGCAGCCTGAAACAAACATTCAATACCAGGTATGTGATGGTTGTATTACACAATATTTGTGGCTCATTGCAGAGAACTGGTCTGGCACACATCAGGCCCATAAACTTTGGCAGTAAACTTAAATATAAAGTCATCCAAAGGAAATTCACTCCTTTAGAGCCCCTGACAATGTAACCAGCCAGCAGCTGGAGGGTGAAAGAAACTCCTCCTTGGATTTTTGCCTTTTCCCCTCTTCAGACCTGTGTGATGACACCATGCTTTCCCTCACTCACACTTACTCACAAGCTGTACCTTCATGTCTGGCAAATAATTCTGTATCTGGGTTACAGATTCTGAACAGAGCTTCAATTCAAGCTCAAGCCAGAGATCTACAAGACTGCCTAGTGACTGTTACAAAGTATGCCGATGAAAATAACAAACTAAAAGAGTTCGTAGTAACTTCCATTGGGAATTTATACAAAAAAAGGGATTGTCCTCAATCCCTGGTGACAATAAAATTTAAGTATTTTACAGTCAATTATTTAACTGCTAATGGGCAAGACAAAAGAAGAAACATACCAATATTCCTTCAGAAACACATAAACTGCATTCTGCAACACATTTATGAAGCATTTCCACACCCAGAAACAGGACACAAAGCAGACCAAGCCAACACTTGTAGAACCACCAGCACGATGGGCTGCACCACCACAGGCTCAGTCAGATGCTCAAAGGATGCTCCCCTTTACTCAGCACTCACACATCACATCTGGAACACCAGGCCCAGATGACTTTGAGCCCCTCTGCTCAAGAAAGAATAAAGATAAACTGAAGTGAGTCCAGGGAGAGGAATGAAAATGGGGCAACTGATTCAAGAGCAGTGCCTGAAGGAAGTGGGCTTGTTCAGCCTGGAGAAGAGAGGAAAAGCTGAAGGCCCTGGGGTGGTACCCAAGAAAAGCTACAGACATACAGGTGAGCTCCTTACTGAGGTGCAGTGGGAGGGCAGCAAGCAATAAATGGGAGCTGAAACAGGAGAGGTTCCCAGTGGATATAAAGAAAAGAAAATTCCCTTCAGAAATAATTAAGCATTGGACTGGGTCATCCTGAGGTGCTGCAAAATCTCTGCCATTGCAGATTTTAAAGATTCCACTGGATAAAGCCCTGAGAAATCAGCTCTGAATTCAGAGTTTAGCAGAGGGCCAATTCTTGAGGTCCCTCCTCAGTCTCCAAAATCAGTGCTTCTGTACAGGTTCACCCAGCTGGAGGTCTGTTCCAACAATGCCTGGCATCAGTGGAAACTTTATTGTAGTCAGCATGCTTAGCATGAGCCTTTCCTGGCCTACCCACTCAGCCTCCAAAAATCAGGGATTTAAGGGCTAGGAGGTTACCCAAGGTTTAACATAGAAATGTAGAGTCCAGGTTTTCAGAGATGCCACAATCCCTCTTCCCCCACAAAAAATCTAAAGTACTTTCGAAAGTTGCTGTTCCTAGGGACAAGGAATTTCCTTGATGTTCAAGTATAAATATTAGTAAGCTCAGAAAGTTATGAAATATTTAAAAGACAAGGAAAATATAGAAGGGATCCTGGGTTTATGGGAAGTGTCCTCAGTTTCCATAACAAACCACTAATTGTGTTAGCAGGTGCCTAGAATTTTAGGAGACTGCCACAACGGGAGCTGTCTACATCTGAGCCCTGCTGTACAGAATCCACTGTTTCTAAAAGGGAATATGAACTGGAATATTCAATGCAAATCTGCTTTTCGTGCAATTAAAAGACTTCACAAATTACACTTAATGAAATATTTCTCTCTCAAGCAAGAAGAGCTTCCTACACAATGATCCTAATTCCTCATGGAAGTGCAGACACACACACATGAAAAGTTATATACAGGCTGCAGAAAGTCCTTTACACAATGAATACAACTTTTATATTATCATTAATCATACAGAGTATCCCTAGAGAGAAAAGTGGAGTATTCTGTGTACTCCAAGGATGAATGAACAAAGTTAAAATCAGGCCATTCTCAGCTAAAAGTTCTATGCATGTACGTTAAAGATGCACTGCAACTGTGTGAGGAGTTAGAGGATCACGCAGCCCTGGTGCACACAGATAAACCACGCTGTTTATACCAGCAAATGAATTATTCCCAATCCAGGGGAAAGCGCCATTCACAACACAGATGATACAGCAATAGTCACAAGAGATGAGTCCACGGGACCATCTCATAGCCTGACACGGACAGCAGGCAAAGGCAAATCCATAGAGAGCAAAACCAGCGTCACACCAGCGCAGTTTATCTAAGTGGGGCACTTTAATGATGTAGCTGTGGCGAGCAAGGCAGAAAAGACACACAGAGCATCCCAACACATTCCAACAGCTGCCCCAGCGCAGAACGCGAACTACCCGGCGGAAAATCAGCACCCCCGGCTTTCCAAGCCGAAGCCCTGCCTGTGACAGTGGGAAACTGCGGCAGCAAAGCGCGGCTCACTCCATTCCCGGAGCAGCTCTGCGCCCCGGCAAGGCTGCTCGGAGCTGTCAGCGCACGGCTCCTCCGAGCTCAGGCGGGAAACACGGCCTGCTCGCCCCATCCTCCTCCCTCTCCCGCCCTGCCCCCAACCCCAGGGACTGCGGGGAGCAAGGAAAAGCCTGCGGGAGCAGCCGCGGGGTTACGGGAGGCGAAAGGCAGCCAGGGCCTGGCAAAGGGGAGGGCGGCGGGGGCAGAGGGGGCACAGCATCGGGTCCCAGTCCCGCTGCCACCAACCTAGCACACAGTCCAGGGAGGGCAGCCCGCTGGAGAGCAGCAGCTGCCCGTGGCGCACCGAGGGCCGAGTGCCCGGGAGGGCGGGCGGCCGCGGGCCGGCCCCGGGTCTGCGCTGGAAGCTGGTGCGGCCCCGCACCCCGCCGGCCGCCGCCATGTCGGGGCCGGGCAGCAGCGCGGCCGAGCGCGCCGGGAGGGCCGGGCTCCCGCTCCGCCAATGGGGGAGCGGCGCGGGGAACGGCGGCCCAATGGGAGCCCGCGTTGTTAGCACGTGCCGAGGCGGGGGCGGTGAAGGGCTGAGGGCCCGGCAGCGAGCGGGGAGGTGAGAGTGGGCATGGGGCGGCTGAGGGGCAGCGGGGCCTTGGCTGGGGCTGAGGGGGCTGGCAGTGGGCGCGGGGACGTGCGGGGACGTGCGGGGACGTGCGGTGCGGGTGCTGTGGAGGGGACACCCCGCTTGGCCCCTGGGTGCCCAGGGTGTCTGTAGGGCCGGGCGTGCAGCGGGCCGTGAGCGGACAGGTTCGCCTGGCACCGCAGCAGCCCCTTCGGAAAGAGCCTGGAAGGGAAATGTACTTGTAAAATGTATTTACGTAACTGCATGTAACATAATATGTGAGTATTCTTGGGATTCCTGCTTGTTTGTACATAGCCACGGACCTGTGTGATTTAATGCCTTTATTTGGGAGCAAGATCTTGCCTCAGCGTGATGGCCCTGGACTAGGATGTGTGGTAGAAAAAGTTAAAAGACATTAAAATGCTTTGGCAAATTCTAGTATGTTTGCTTTGTCAGTCAACGCTTTATGTTCTGGTCTCTGAAATCAAGGGAACCCCCTGTCAGTATATAGAACAGCCACTATCGCAAAGTATTTGTATATTTGTTTTTCAACTGTTGCTTGAAGACACTTGTATACAGCAGAATATAAAAATGAAGCTTTAATACTATAAGCCCTCACTCTTTAATTCCAATGAATAATGTTTACTGTTGTTCTAAGCCAAATGTTTGAACATCTGTGGTTCTCAAGTCTCTTCTTAATTGAGGGGGGAAAATCCTCATGTTAAACATGAGCAGCATGAAAAAGCAACAGTATGTGGGCAGTCCTGAACCTCAGTGTTTTTCCTTCCTATCCATTTCAAATTCAGGAGCATGAATCTGCAGTATGATGTTTCCCTAGCTGGGGAAATTATGTTGTTTTTGCTGCTGGCCAAGCTTCTTCTCATGCTAAGCAGTGGACAGTTCAAGATCTTTAATCAGGAGTATCAAGAGGTAGTCTTAATGTTTTGTATTTTCTGCTAAGATGTGCAATATTGAATAATACTTAATATTAAGTGTAAATTACTGTTTAGTGAAAGTTAGAAGTATCTGTCTGTAGAGGAGAAAATCCAAGGACATTTGAAAACGTAGAAAGAAATAAATATAGTTGTTTAATTTCACTTCTGTAATATGTGACCAATGAGGTGTGACTATCTGGAATAGGAAAGGCCAAGAAAATAAAGACCCAAAGCATAATTCACAATTCTTTTAAAAGGGTTTGGGCATCTGTTTCTGTCAGTGGGTTCCTGTGGTGGAAATTCTGTCTAACTGAAGAGGAGGCTGAAATGGGGACAGAGTTCTGCACTTTTAAAACATTGCAGTAACTCTGCCATTTCTTACTGTGTACTGCCATCCTGGAGCCCAAATCCCTGAATATTTCAGGTGTGAGTACTTGCAGGTGTGTGTAACACAACAATTGCAGGATATTTTGGAGAACTTGGTTACAGAAGCTTGTAACCCAATGACGGGGATATCTTTGATAAGTCACTGCTTACCTGTCAGCAAGAGAATCAAGTGATAAACTGCATGTACTCAATCTCTGTGATGGTTTTTTGCCATTCCAAGTAGTACATTTTCTTTTCTTACTTCATTAATACAAGGTATTTCCTTGCTTTATTTTTTTTTTAATTAAAATACCCTGTTATAGGTTGTCTTAACTTCACAGGATAGGTGTAAACATACATCTAGTGCTGAGCCCTCTCTTTCTTTCATTTCTTGTTACTATTTGCCTGACATGTAAGGAGTTTTTTTATACTTTTTAAGCCTCATTTTTTTACAGGGCAATTACAATTGGAGGGTAAATAATTCTTTATTTTTTTTTCTTCTCTGTCCTCTTGGAATTCGCATAAAGAAAATATTTTGCAAATGGGAATGCTTGTGCCATGGTCCTTCCAGTTTTAGTATCTCTTGGATAAACTGCACATTTACTGGAAGTCTCAGTGGCTCAGGAGCTGATCCAGTGGATCAGGGTTGCAAAAGGGGAAGTCTCACTCCCTTCTCCTTCCCTGTTTGCAATCCAGCAAACCCTGCTGCTCATCAGGTCCCTCCTTGAGCTGATTGAGCTCACTAACCTGACTTTCTTAATAGTTTTATTTTTGGGTGCTGTGTGGAAAAGGGCACATACACACCGTGGGGAGGGGCAGCCCAACCTCCCAGCTCTTGCTAGCTGTGAACTTTGTAGCTATTTGAGAATTTCATGGATTTTTACATAAAGTGATATTTTTTGTTACAAATTTTTTTTTGTAGACATCCTTCCAAATATGGAGAAATGGTGTCTTACATTGTAACTTGCAGCAGGAGAGATTACAGCAGGACATATAACAAAAATAATGGAGAAGTAGATACAATTTTTTCAGTAGAACTGAGCTTTTAAAATAGTGTCAGTAGTTCTGTTGGTGATGTTCATTTTTCCCCAGACACATTTTAACCTGATAAATGCAGTTAAAGTCTTACTGATTTAGAAAGTGAGTGGAAATAAGGTATTTTCCAATAGGTGAGGGAGTTTTCAAACGTTAACATTTTAATACAATAAAGCTTTCCAACTGCATATGTGCTTATGAAAATACTGCTTACAACACCTGATTTTACCAGTATTTCAGACAAATTTCAGAGATGGAACTTATTTAATGGAAGTTTAATTTCATATTTATTTTTAGTTATTTATTTTTAAATCAGTGATGTTCATTTTCAGGAATAACTATAATTTCTTCACTTATTGAATGATACTGAAGGCTTGCTTACATTCACATGTCCAGTTTTGAAAAGGTGAATTTTCAGTCGTTGTAGAAGATCCCACTAGGATCTGCTATGTGGCAGAAAGCAAGACCACAGGACTTGTAATTCTAGACATTTCCCTAATCCTCAAATGAACATTATTATGAGCTAGAGGAGTCCTGCTATTCCTGCTCTAGGGCTGGAATGGAAATGCAGAGAAACTAAGGAACGTGGAAATGATTTCCAGTGCTCAGGAAGTTATTTCTTGTCAGCTGAGCTGTGGCAATGGACAGTGGTCATACTCAGCTCATTGGAGAGATTTAAACATTTTTGTCTATTTTGGGATGTCTTAAACTGTAGAATAATTAACTTTCCTTTTTCACAACACACATGTTGTCATGTAGACCTGGTCAAATGGGGATGTCAGTTTCAGCTGCAAATCCTGACTGTGCTGTGGAGAAATCAAGCTCTCTGTTTTCTTCTCACAAATTTGCTGGTCCAATTCAGCTACTTCTCTGTATGAAATGCAGATTCTAAGATGGAATAAGAGCATTTTGGGTGAAAAATCGCTAAGGAAAATAAAAATAGAGAGAATACAGAGCAGTCAGAACATTTGGGAAAAGGTTGGAATTTGATCTGCAAGTATGTTTGTCATTTCTCTTCAAAAGCTGTGGCTACAGATTTGGGGGAAATCCTGATGTCCCCAGGAGAGCAGCCCTTGAGGTGTGTGTTGGCTGTTTGTGGTGAGAAGAGGAAGCACAGTTGTCGTGGCCTCTCTTCACCGCGTGGGTTGCCCGTGTGGGCTCGCAGTGAACACCAGCAGCGTTGTGTGGGCAGTGTCATTGATGGATGTGTTCTGTTGTCTTTGCTTTCAAATTAATGCTTCTGCCAGCTTTTAATTGTGCTGCATAAGGTTCGTGTATGCTCTCGCCTTTAAACAAAATGCTGTTCATTTTGGAATAAAACCCCAGCCCGTTTTATTTCAAGCCCGTGTGCCTGCCCAGCCAGTTTTCAGTGATATTTTTCTGCTGGATTGATGTGTGGGATAGAGAAGCAGAAAACCCCATCCTAGCGGCAGTTTTAATTCATAATCTTATTAGTGTTTGGTGCTCCATGGCCAGGCTGCTTCGCTCATCAGTTGTGGAATGTGCTGGTATTAGACTGTACTGATTAAAGTTTTATAGTCACCAAATCAGATTAGGCAGCGAGTCACCTGACCAGGCCGGGCCTGCAGTCATGTGACCAGCGCCCCGCCGAGCTCCCGCTGCGGCCTGAAACAAGGTAGTTTGCTTTTGAGATGTTCTTAAGTATCGAACAGCATGGGTCGTGGATTATGGCTGCAAAGAAGATGGCTTCATTTTCCTGATCTTTGAACTAGCTAGAATGGGATACGTTTGAAAGTGCAGGATCTTCAGGCCGTGAGCCAACAACTGGAAAGAATGTTTAATCCTGGAAGCTCTGACACCAAAAGACCTGTTTTTTCAGTGTGAAAAAGCTTAAAGACTGCTTATCCAGTCAGTCTGTGGCAAATGAAAGAATTAGTTGGAGTGTTTAGGACTTGCCAGTTGTATGATGTTATATAAAACATGATACAATTATATTCAAAAAGTCTCTGGATGTTACCTAAATGCATCCTTGTGGGTATCCTGAGCAACAGGAAAAGAATTTAAACCTTTGTCAAATTTAAAGTGAGAAGCAAATTAGGAGACATGAGTTAAAGTAGTATGTGCTGAAGAGAAGAAATTATTTTAAAAGTTACTGTATGTTTCTGTAATTTCAGAACTGTGTAATATTACTGAAACCTGCAGAACAATAATCTTGAAAGTGAACTGTGAGTTTAATTTAGTGTCTTAATAAGCTTCATACAGATTAGTGCTTTATTTAATAGAGATTATTTTCCTTATGTTTCTCATACTTCCTGGTATGAGAGACCCACAAACATGGAACTCAAGTTTCCATTGTACTGGCCAATGTTTTCTGGTTATTGTTCTCCCATAGATATTCCAGACAGGAATGCTAGCTTGATTTTTCAGCTACCACAAACTTTGACAGCACTGTAGCCATCCACAGAGTGGGGCAGGAACCAGGGTGTCCTGCAGTAAATAGTTCTGTAGAGATGTGGAACCACCTGGGCTGAACACAGAGCCTTGCTTGCTCTTCAAAAAATTTGACTAGAATGGTAAACTAATTAGGTCACTGAGGGGCAGATGAAAAAAAAGAGTAATTTTGGCCTTTAAGTAGTCAGGAAGTAAAATTTAGATTTTTCATTGTGAGTTACAAAGTTGGATGAAAGACAAGCAAGCAACTTAATAAAACTCATTGCAAATCCAGATTCACAACTGGCTACTTAAGGAAACTTAAATTGTTTCAAATTTGGAATAATGTTTTGGTCATAAAAATCATCAGGAAGCACTGAATATCTGATTTTTTTTGTTTGTTTGTTTTTTGTTTGGTTTTTTTTTTTTTGTGTGTGTGTAGCCAGGCTGTATCTTAGCAAACCATCATTATTCTTTATCTCAGTGGACTTAGCTTCCATCTCCTACACTGAGCCTGCCAGTTCCATGGCAGAAGTGCTGTATTTGTGGGAATCCCATTTGAGGAATGTGTATGTGGGAGCAGCATTTTTTCCCCCAGGTACTAAATTGCATTTTGTGTGATATAATATATGTAAGAGGAATAAAAATACATTAACATTTAAAACTGTCAATACTGAAACAGATTGAGGGAAACCAAAATGTCATCAAGGTCCAAGAAATAACAATCCTGTAAGTGATTACTGCAGAACACCTCAGTGGATTGGAAATGGGACACACCAGAGGTTGTGGTGCTGCTGGAAATGTGAGCTTCACCAATTGTTTCAAAGTTCTGGTTTGGTTTTGTATGGAAAGAATAGATGAGTGTTACTTCATTGCAATGAGGGGATAATTCATCTGAAGATTTAGCCCTAAGGTGTATTAGAAAACTTGTCTCTTCAGTAGCCATGTGTTCAGTATTTCTGTGATTTACAGCTGTGACTGTGTCCCTAGCAGAGGAAGAAATGTAATGGAGCTTTTTTTTTTTTCACACCCAGCTCTTACATTTCTGCAAAAACTGTTGCACGTTCTTGGAACCTCATGCTCCCATCTTTTCTTGTGCTTCCGTTGGTCCAAGAAGTTTGATCTTGATATTCTCATGCTATTGCCAAGCCACAGTGATCTTTAAATAGAATTTTTAACATTTCTGACACAAAAGAACTGAAATGCACAAACTTTAAATTGTAGGAATATCATCAATCTTCCTAGCATGCACAGAACAGCTGTGAAAGGAGCTGTGTGACCAATCACTGATTTTCATTTTAGAAAAGCAATGTGTTATGGAATAAAAAGCAAGCCACATTCTGTACTTTTGGAACAAACCAGATGAGCAAATTTAGATGAAGTAAAATCTGATCACTTATTAAAATCCTAAATAGTTTTTAAGAAGACAATTCAGGGAGACAGTACTAGTGAAGTTATACAGTGATTGTTTCTGTACTGCTTTTCTCTTTTACAAGTGCTTGTGCCCTCATTTGAAACTCCTGGTTGGGGTGGATGTCTGTGCTCAGATGAGTCCTACAGGCCGTGCTTGGTGTTTGGTGTTTGTGGGGCTGGAGCATCCTCTTGTCTTGCAGGTCCTCTGCACCTCAACTTGGAATTATTTGCTAAATTGGAGGAAGGTACCTCTACTTATTTGATTCACTAAGTAGTCAGTTTTCACATTTATTATTGTATCAGCTGTATCTTTTATTTCAACCATCAAATTAAATAATAGCTTATACTGGCTTTCTATTTTAGTTCATGCATTTAAAACCTGGAAGTCAGATAAAAAGATAGTTCCAGAATAAATTCAGTATATTATTTATGAGTGCAGCAACACATTAGCATGGAGTTCACAATAGATCATATCGCTTTTATTCCATCTTACAAGCTTAGCAGCACAAACAGAATAATCAACATATTATTTGGCTGTCATGTGCTGAACAGAAAGCAGAGATCACAAGGAGGTTTTCCCTAGCTGCAGTGATGGCCTTTTTGTTCCAAGCCCCCATCTGGGAGGGCCATGGTGTGTTATCATATGGAACGCGGGCTTTGCTGTAATCTGCTTAGCTGCACTGCACTTTGAATCTTTATTCCATGTTTGTGTAATTTATAATTTTAATGAGACCATGGCTCTTGTGGGCTTTGAAATATATTAAAAGCTCTTTTGTGCATATGCTTTTGTTCTTGCTTAATAGGCTCAGTGTATTTAAAACTGATGAATTTTTATTCATGGATTTGGATGTCTGGGGATTAACTTAGACTGAATATCATTGCACTCATCTATTGATGTTTGGAACTTTTTTATACTTGTATCTCTAAGTGGAGAAGACCTTACAAAACTTATGTTTTACACATAAAACAGCTCAGAAATAACTAATAACATTTTATTGAGTAATGAGGAAAAATACTGATTACAGTTTATTTTTACTGCCTGAACTCTCATGAAGTACCACTTTGCTCTGAAAAAAGTCCTTGAATCCATGTACATGTGTGTATTTAGAACTTTATAACTTAAAAGCAGTTTGGGAAAGCAGTCAACATTTTTGCAGAATAATAGCAGTGATAAGCACTTGATTTACATTTTCCTTCTATTCAGGTAACTTGAAAATGTAAATACTGAGCACTTTCTTGTCTGGCTGTTGCCTTTCTCCTGTTTTTTAACACATTTTTTTAATGCAGAGTGTGCATAAGCTATTTCATTAGAAGGTGATACTCATAACTGGGGAGTATTGATAAACATACAGAAGGATTCTTCACTGCTGTTCTCTTACAGTGCTAAAACTGGTCTTGTTTTTTGCTTTTATATTTTTCAGATGCTTAATGGTTTGTTTATGGTTTAATTGTCTGTCGGGTTTGATTTACTATTTGTTTAAAGATTTGATACTTTGTGACTTCTGGGTTCCTAAACTACTGTGGAACACTCTCCAATGATGGCATTCTCTCTGAGACCAACATTGGCAGGAAGATGGAGACAATTCTATTTTTTCTAAATAGTTTTGCTGATGGTGTACTGAACTGTGCATGGATTGTTTGATGTGGAGGTGGTTTGGGTTTTTGTTTGTGGTGTTTTTTTGGGTTTGCTGGTTTTTACCAGCCAACCATCCTCTTTGCAATGACAAAATATTTTAAGTAAACAACCTTTTTAGTTATCAGTGCATAGGGGAGTTATTTACCCCTCTTCTATTCACTGCTGTGAGCAGTATTTCCAAAATCCTGGTTCCACAAGATGTGTCAGCTGGGAAGTGCAAGGGACACATGAGCCATGTAGGGTTGTAGATTTTTAGTGCCTAATGTGAAAATTAGGCTTGTAACTCTTTGTCTTACTAAAGTGAAATGAATTTTCAGTGTTTATATGTCTGTGTCTCAAGAAAGTGAATATATTGAAGATGAACACATGTAGTTGTTTGATCACTGACATAGGCACAGCCTGTTTTTCTCAGTTACCAGGAAGGTGACTGTGGAGTCTGCCAGCCCTTTGGTGTTTGTCCTGACTTTGACCTTGTTGCAGAAGACTGTAAAGTGAATATTTTGGCCTCCCTCAGAGGCCCAGGCTTGCCATGGATGACCATGCCTTTGCTCAGCTGTCTGGATTTCAGTGTTCAGCAGAGAGGAGTGTATGGAGCTGCAGAGGAGGAGAAGCTTTGGAATGCATCTGGCCATTAAAGCAGCAGTTTATTCAGGGTTCTGCAAGTGCTAGGAGCTGCTTCCCAAAGGTAAATAGAAGCAGTGAGAACTACCTGAAATCTGTGTTGCAAAATTGCTCATTCTTGTCGGTAGTCTCTGGTTATTTAACACCAGTGAATTGTGTCATGTGTGTTATGTTTACAGGATTAAACTCTTGTCAGCTTGAGATGGGAGCTGAAGGAGCTCTCTCTTGTTGAGACAAACTGGCAGTGCCTAGTGGAGATAATGTGTAAAAGAACCATCTCTTCCAGAGTATCACCAAGCTTGCTCACTTCTGCCACTGTTTCTTCCAGAGTAAAGCAACAGCTGGAAATAAAAAGCAATTCTGTCTGATCCCCAGCACAGAGGGACTTTTTGAAAAGTGGTCTTTGTTTTGCTTTAGATGTTCAGAATCCTCAGATTGTAATTAGAATATTTAAAGCATTTTGTATATTGTGGATCTAATATGGGAATCATCCAAACAAGCAAGATATACACCCTTTGCTCTTCTAGCACATGTAACATCAATTTCATGCAGAAGTTTTAAAATAATAGTTTAATATAAATAACAGTTCAAACATAAATATTTAAATGGCCTAGTCAGTGTGCAGTTTTTCCTTTGGTTTGGGTTTCTGGATTTTTAAAAAAGTAATATCAGAGTAATTGTGTGGGAAAGAAATGGTGCAAGTTATGTGTAGAGAAAAGTGTCTGGTTAGAAGTGGAGACTGTTAGGAGAAGACTTTCTGTTATGGAAGAAAAAACTGATAAACTATCACTACATATTCATTGAAATTCCAGAATTGGAAAACATTTAATAAAGGAAATGGGACCGGAAAATTTTTATGAAAGTGAAAAATCTGTTTAGTGCCAAGTCCAGTGATTTGTTTAGTCACACTTTCAGTGCCTGCAACTTTGATTTTCCTGTATTTAAAAATTCAGCACCGTATCTTAAATTGTTTTACACAATGTCATTGGTTTTCTGGAAATGATAAATCTGCTCATTGATTTTCTAATTTTATTATGTACACAACTAATTGTAATCCGAGATTACAGCAAACAAAATGTTAATTTCTAGACAACCTATGTACATTTCCCTCGGAGTGTGAGCGTTACAGAAGCAAGGAGTACAAAGAGAATACCATTTGTGCTATCCTCACAGGAGCTGTCAATAAAAGATGTAATAGGGGATTTAGGAATCTGGAAATGGCCAACTAATTTATGTGAATCTATTTTATTTCAGCTAGAAAGCCCAAGCTCTGTTTGGTCTGCACTGCATATTGCAGAGCACAGGCTGTCTATAGAAAACCAGGCGGCTGCATATGGATAGTCCCTTGATATCATTCACTTGCTGTGTAATCTTATTATGCAAAGTTCTAATCTTCACCTAGAATGAATGCCTCTGGGTCAGAATATAGTCATATCAGGGTTTTTGAGGTCATGTTTTGTGATCCTTAGCTTATTCTTCTAAGTAGAGCTGGGATTTAAAGAGTATTCCCCAGACACTGGCAGAGATAGACAGCAAAACCTGCTGCCTTTTTGGAAGACAAGACCAACATGAGGTCCCTGGTAGGATTAAACTTGATTTGTAGCTGTAGGATTTTTTAACAGATGTATTATTGGACAGGGAATAGGGGGCCACCAGCACAGCGAAATTGGATCACAATTGGCATTCTCAGGGAGTCTGCTGGCTGCTAAAACAGCAGCTGCATGTGGATTTGACTTCTTTCAGGTGAAGCGACTTCCAGTCATTTGGAAAGGATGGGATGAAAAGGAACCTTGGTGATAATTTTGATGTCTGCAAGATTTAGTACCAATGTAATGGGATTATCGGTAACACCTTCACTGCAGAAAAAGCCACCTGGCGCTATAACTGGCAGCAACTGAGAACTAATCCTTTCCCATCTCTTGGATGTCATTCATGAGGCTCCAAGTGATTTCTACCCTGCTAGCTGTGATTAATTTTATAAACAAACAAACAAAACCCGGCTGATGAAAGCACAGGCTATGGAAGGAAAAGGGGACAGAAGATAATAGTAATTACATTTTGCATTTTATTTCTGTGGGGGATAAACTATACAGTTGTGGTGAAATAACCAAATTGTGTTGTCTGTGATAAATATGGATGTGTGACCTTTTTTAACCAATGTGAATTTGAGTATAAATTTTTCAGCTACCTGCTGTATGATAGTAGGTACCTGGATAATGCCTGGAAGTAATTACAACAGGTTTTAGACCATTAGTTCTGCAATAAGGATGTTTATACTACAGAGCCATTAAGTTTTCAAGGGGCCTATCACTTAAATAATTTGTTTTATTGTGCTTAATGGTCTTATATTCGATCTGGTGGAGTTGCCTGCTGATGGTACTTTGTATTAAAATGGTGTGACGTGGAAAACTTCAGCTGTTTACTTTCTTGTGATCAACAATATGACTGTTTCAAAAATGTATACTGATATAAAGTTCTCAGAGGAAACAATTATATTTGAATGATGCTCAAGTTAATTATTTCTTTGTGGTTTTTGTTGAACAAACTAGTTTGTTTTGGTGGATTTTTTACTGGACTTAATCTTGGTAAAATCACTTATTATATAGAAGTTGTTACTTAACACTACATGGAAACTCTTAGGATTTTAGTTATTTGTAATGAATAGTAGATGTCTAAAGATGAACTTTAACATTTAAAACACCCTCCCATACTCAGGAGGTGCCTTGCCAGGGTCAGGCTGTATAATCCAGGTCATATGCCTTCATTTGAAATTAACTTTCTTGGGTAGTAGTCAAAAGCTTTTATATAAAGCTAAAATTTTTTGATTGCTATCATAAAATCTGATAAGCTTGAGCATTTGTAGGAAAGAAAAAATCCTTTTGTACTACATTTATAAATGGAGGTTGGTGAAATTCATGTCTCAGGAGTAAAGAATTTATTTTAAGAGAATTGGGAACAAAATTTGAGAGCTCTTCTCTCATGTTCTGTCCCTGTGGTTCGTTTCTTACCCTGGCAGCTCTAGCAGCAGGCAGAGCTCACTCTGAGCTCTGGCTTTCCCTGAGTAGCTCCCAAATCTACTCAGGAGAATCACAGGAATACACATCCAGGGTTACTGTCCCTAGGTTTGTGTCATCCCAAATCCAAAAGGAAATTGCTTGCAATCGCTTTGAAACTCATTTTTCTGAGATGTACAGCAGTTGTTTGGAGTTTCATAATAAAGATATTTTAGTTCCAACCTGACAGCTGTTGGCAATGGGACGTTTGCACATTCTTTTGTTGTTACTGTTGATTTGTCCCAATTTGATCTGTGTACTCTGGGCATTGTAATGCATTGTTTGTCAATGCCTTTTTACCTGCAATACCCACAGGTGCCTAAATTCTCTACTATCTTAATATGTTAATACAAGGTCTCTGAATAACATGGGACAAAATTAGAGGATGCTTGTGCAGTATTTTTCTTTCTCCCTGAACTGAGAAGCAATGCCAGGCTGCCTTTCTTGCAGGTGCTCTTAAGAAGTATTGATGTTGTACTTGTCTCAAAACATAGTTGTGACCATGCACTCACAAATTCATCTACTGAGCCTCCACCTTCCTTTTATCACCTGTGCCCCGTGTGTGGGCTCACAGAGTGTCTGGCCCCCAGAGTCAGGCATTGGTTGGTGCTTCCATGGTGCTCTGAACTGAGAAGAGCCACCCACTTTTGTGCCTTAGCAGAATGAATTCTGCTGGAAGTGCATTCCCCTGCCAGGGGAGCTTTCAGTTCCTGCAGTGAGCTGGGTGCTGCATCTGCCAATGACACAATTCAAGACTTTGCTGTTCTCCTTTGTATTTCTGGTCATTACTGGGAAAATGGTCACATAATCTCATGAATGATAAATCACAGCTTGGTTTACACTGTTCTATTCCTGAGAAGTTTATGTGAATAAAAAAGTACATATTTTTTGGAACAAGGAAGTCAACTTGATAGAGAATATTTGCTGCCAATGATGGTTGTCTTTTATGAATGTATTCAGGCACAATTCCCAGTAAATTCCAGTGGGAGTTGTGAAAATAAAGCTATGCACTTTACAATTCCTGTCTTTAATTAATGAAATGTAGAAGCAGATGTCTTTATTTCGTTTTGAAGTGGACATATTTTACACAGCATTTTTCCTTTTTTTCTTTTCAACATACTGTACTTGCTTAGTAAGCTCTGTTGACCCATCTTATTAAAAGAGGGAAATCTTGCTCTGGTTTTAGTTCATGATAAGGCAGAACTGAGTTTCAGGGGATGAGGTTTCTTGCAGAATGTAGAACGTGCTACAATAACTTCAGTTATGTCTGTTTTCCACTTCCTTAAGTGTGGTAAGGAAACAGTTAGATTAGCATTTCAGGAATTGGATCTCCTAATCACAGTTGGACCTGAATATTTGGGAAGTTGGTTAGAAACTGTTTAGAGGCACTGTGCTGCAGCTGAGAGCAGAACCACCTGATGCCTCATTTCTATATCCACCTCTTCAGGTCTATCTGCTTATTTATTGGTTTCATTGCACTGTTGGGTTTTTGTAATCTTGTCCATCTGTTACACACAAAAGCTGGGTTTGTAAATGTTAGATTGCTTGTTCTCCAATGAATGATCCTCTTGTGTTTTGCTGTAGAAGCAGCTGAGCAGCGTTCCAGTGTAGGATGCTTCGCCATGCCCTAGGAAAAACCTTCCGGTTTCTGGGGTACACGGTGCAATATGGCTGCATAGCACACTGTGCCTTTGAGTACCTTGGAGGAATTGTTGTGGTAACTCTTCATTTTCATGGCATTTAAAAGGAGATAAAACTGCAATAGTGGTATTTTTATATGTGACCACGCCAGTATTTCAGGTTTCTTAATTTTCTTTGAAGCATGTAACACAATTTATGGGGAGCAGGTCCAGCCTTTATGAAAGCTGTTTGTACTTTAGGCATTCGTGTTTTCTGATGTTATTGCTTGAAGCATTACTGGAGTAAATGGGAAACTCTGATTAAGCCTTTTGCAGAGTCCATCCTTTAAGAAAGACTGAAGTCACTGATAGGAAATGCATTTGTATCACACTCTGGCCAAATTTCTGGGTGTTTTATGATCCCTGCCCCTCCTCCCCAGGTCCTTAATCTGGCAGATAGTGCTGCTGGCCATGAGGGAGTTGCAGCTTCTGTGATGGTTCTGTGTCACACAGAAGAGAAAGGGGTAAGCTGGTCCTAAAAATTGAGCACTTATCCTAAAAAATTCTTGGAAATGCAGTGCTGAAAGGAATCCATAAGGGCCTGTAGCACCCAGTGCACTTCAGGACCCATCCCAAGGAAATGTGCAGCTGTAACAGAGTCAGAGGTGCTCTGGAGGCTCCCCTCAGCTTTTAAATACATCACACATTCCTTGGAGGAGTCACTTTTAGTTCTCTACCTTACACCTTTTCTAATTAATTAGCATATCATTTGAATATTAGTTTATTTTAGATAAAAGTAGTTTGAAATAGTAATTTTTTTCTCCTTTATTTTTAATTTGCAGTGCTCTGGACCTTCAATGGAACCAACCATTCAAAACTGTGATATTGTGTTTTCAGAGAACCTCAGCCGTCACTTTTACTGCATTCGAAAGTACGCTCGTGTGCTGAGAGCAGAGCTGACATTCCCTGTGCCAGGCCTTGCCAATGGCCACCTTCTGGCCTTTAGTGCTGCTGGATTTTGCTGCTCCTAACTTGGCATTTTTCATTGTGTCTAAAGGATGTTAAAATTATCAGCACAAACAGCCTAATGAACAACTAGTCAAAATTCAGTTTGGATTTAGTCTATTGTCACTTTCTCAGCTTTGTCCAAAAAATAGAAAAAAATCTATTGAGTGGATGTAACTTCTTCTCTAAGCAGTTTGGTCTTGAAAACCAACTATGGGTTTTACTGGTCTCAGGTTGTAGTCTTATGTTTCATAAATGATCTAAATAACAAAAATTCACTCCACTTTTAAAACTCTTTGAAATTACACCTGAGTAAAACTGAAGAAACTAAAATTGTATACAAGAATTTTCAGCACAATGGACTATCTTTATGTGATTGAATATTTTTGGAGTAGACACATGGATGATCATGTACTCAGCCAAATAGTTTGTAATTAGAGTTCTTCTGTTTGTTTTTGTTTCTGTTTTTTCCTCTCAGAGGAGATATTGTAATTGTGAAAAGCCCAAATGACCCCAAATCAAATATCTGTAAAAGAGTAATTGGCTTGGAAGGGGATAAAGTCTGCACAAGCAACCCTTCAGATTTCCTTAAGAGTCACAGCTATGTAAGTATTAGAGTTTCTTACTATGTAAATTAATGATTACTGAAGTAGGCCTGGTGGTCTGTAAGGGATTTGCAATATTTGAGGATCATAATAAATCATAAATTATGACAATAAATTATTGAATATGTACAGTAAAATGTTGTACTTTTAGACTGTGTATGCCAAGCTGTCTTTCTCTGCCTTTTGTGTGTGTAGGAACTGTAGACAGATAATATTTTTTCTCTGCTCTTTACTTAGTCCTTCTTTCCTGGAAGAATGCTCTGAATTCTCTGTATAAATTTGCTGCTGTACAGATGACAGATGCAGGTGCTTGATGTTCAGGCAAAACTGTTGCTGTATTTTAAACACTAAGAAGTGAATATTTGACTTTGCAGATTTTTCTTTCAAAATTATACTTTAGTGCGTCCCTATTTCAATATAGCAATATTTTATGTTCCTCAGTATGGCTGGAAAAGTATAAATTTTCCTGACTTGACCAAAAGGTCCCAGAAGCATGTTTGACTTTTACCTCTCTTCAGCACCTTGTGGAGCCATTAGATATTCCCAGGTGTTTTGAATCTTTAAACAAAGCTGTGATTTTGCCCTTTGATATCCACTGCATCCTCAGAATAGGAAGAATGAGCACTTGGCCAGAGTCCTGTGCTGTGAAGGTGAAGGATTTTATGGAACACTCTTTACAGGCAGCTACAGTGTGTGACCCAAAAATCCTGTCAGAGTTTAACTTCCTTGGAGGCACCTCCTCACCAGGGAGCCTCCAGGTACCATTGCTTTATTTGTATCAAGCAGCTGAAGTGCAGTTTGTCTTTACTAGAAGCAAAAATTCTTGTTTAGCTCCAGACAGAAAGGATCAGAGTCCTAGCCTGCTCTGAGGGTTTGGATTTGTTCCTTGCACTGCAGTGTTGAGGCCAGACATCTTGGGCACGTGCCTCTAATCTGCACTTCTGCTCTAATCCAGTGCCACTGGAGCTGCTGTTCTTACACTTTGGTCACTTGTGGGCATAAGGAAGGAGCTCATTCTCTGTTACATTTTGAAGGGGAGGACAGAACATTTAGTTTTTCCACAGATCAAATTGTGTTAACCATTTAATCAACGGAAAACCTACCAAAAACCCCAAAGAACACAAACCCATCTTTCTTACCAAGCTGAAGAAATCCTCTAGCTCTGGTGGAGTTCCTAATTGTGATGGAATATGCATTTCCCAGAGGAGTTCAAGCTGAGAGGGAAACCTGAATGCTGTGTACACTGACAGAAGACACAAACTGAATTTCTCTGAGCATCTTGTTCCTCACTTGTCTTAGTCTTGAAAAGGATGTTTGGGAAAGATTTGTACTTAAAAGAGGATGTCAGCTTTTCTGGAAACACTGAAGTAACCAAATGAATATTCAGCAGAACAATTCCTGCCCTAGTGAAGGATTTCTTGTCTCCAGTTTTAATCCAAAATATGAGAAAGAGCAGATGGGCAATGCAGAGTCCATTTCCTGTTTTCATAAAGGCTAATGTGTGGAAATATAGCAAAGTGACAAGCTTTTGTAATTCTTACATCATAAATTGTATCTAGGAGGAGAAATTATCTAAATGGAAATGCTCTTGTGCCTGATACCTGTTTTCCTTCTACCTTTAGTGCTTGGTAAAGAGGTAGGTATTTCCATCTGTTCAGGAGACACTTTACAGAAGAGTAAATTCTCAACATGGATATCTGTACTTTATGTTCATAACTGAGGCTGGATTATTCACTAAGTAAATTGTTGGGGAGGGGAAATGTGATGTGTGTTTATGTTTAGACAATTGCCTAATCAAATTCCTTCTTGTAGTGAATCACTGTGCTATGCACTTTTAACTCAAACACAGAATTCCTCACAGCAAATCATGGCAGCAGATGTACAGAGAACTGGCTGTTCTGTTGATATTTGCCTGAGGTGGGTTTTTGAAAAAAAAAATTGTTTAAACTGAGGAAAGGCCTGGGCTGTGATTCCAAATGGCCAGGAGTGCTGCTGAGGGCTCTGTCTGCCAGGGGAAGGTACCACTCCTGAAGTGAGCAAAGCCTGGAAAGTGTCATGAGTTTTGCACTTTAGATTTGCCTACTGCCTGCCTTTTTTCAAACAGGAAATCTGAATGGTGTGTGAATGCTGTGACTCCAAAGTGTGTAAGGTCAGAGCAGTCTTTGTTTTTATTATAGCAAACTGCTCAGTTTTCCTTAAGGGCTTGTCTCCTATTTTGGGAAGTTCCTGTCAAGTTTGCAGACTTGCACAGTAAATAGGAATATCAGATGCCAGCAATATTGCCAAATGAGGCAGCTCAGACCCCTGCTTCAGTCTGTGTTGGTGGTTGCCAGCTAGTGGATAGGTTTTGTGAGTCAGCCAGTTCCTGGAGATGGCAGAGGAATGGCAATACAATGGACTCCATGCAGCTGAGGGTGAAATTTCCTGTAAGCACCTGCTTTAGGTTGCTCCAAAAGGAGAATCCTCAGTCATGTTAGTAGGAATTGTTCTTAGTCTGTGTTGACTGTCAGTGGTAGTGTTGCCATATTTTACAGGATTTAAGTTAGGGATTTTTGTGCTTAGGAGGATTGTCACACACAGTTTTTACCCTGAAGCCTAAGTGAATGCTAAAATCAGATCCTATTTGAGGTGCTGGTTCATTCATGAATAAACTTCTCAGGATGCCTTTCTGTGTAGGTAGGAGAATGGAGAACTGTGTTTACAATTTGCTCTCTGTAAAATTACACAGATGAGATGCATTATTGCTGCAAACAACCAAGGAGATACCTGTAGATTAAAAAAAAAAATCCAAACACAACAAACCAACCTTCAAGCTATAATGAAAAGAAAGAAAAAACAACAAACAATCATGCATAAGCTGAATAAGTTGTTCTGAAAAGAGGTATTTCAGCTGAGTACAAATGCACTATAGCAGTGGCAGTTAAAACTCTTGCTGCTGTATTAAACTGAAGGAATACATCATAAGAGAAAATTATTTTTGTCAGTGCACTAAGTGTAAAACTGTATCAAAAAACTGTCTTTGATGGAGCTGTTGGATTACAGGCTGATGGAACTAATGCTGCATATAAAACAGAGTGATATAATTCAGGCATGTGCTGAAATTACAATTTAAGTACATAAGATTAGAGTTTATCTGTAGAACAATAATTAGGGAAATCTTCCTGTTTACATGAAAGTATAATGAAATTCCTTTTTTGAATAAGCTGCTATAGTATTACAAAGTTGGAAAAGGTAGTTTTCCTTTTTGTTGCTATCTGGTATGGAATGTGAGCATTAGGCTGGCAGTTTTGCAGGGCTCTTTTCTGGTTTTGTGCTAAATGTACATTTCTAAATAGAAACAAGTGTATTTGCTGTAATAAACATTTAAGAATGCATAGTGTATTTTTTCTATATGAGGCAATGTGGTATGAACCCAGAAGTTAAAAAGGTAAACAACTAATGTATTCAGAAGTAGTTTCACTTATTAAAAGATATCCTATTTTATTCATTTAACTGTATGGATGCAAATAATGAGGATTAATAAGGAAATTAATCACAGTTAACCCCTGAGATGGTCCTTTAAAAAAAAACAGGTGAAAGGTTATTTTTCATATTTAGGCTTTTATTCCCTGTTTAAAAACGTCTTAATACAGGTTTATAATTCAGATTGAATATCTTCTTGCTCTATTTGAATTTGTTTTAATGCCATTTACTTTAGCTTTAATTTCTTTACGTACCATATGTTCTTGTGCTGCACGTCCTATTTACAGTGTGAAATGTGAGGGGTAAACCATCAGAATCAAACAGCTTGTATGTCATAAAGCACCAATATGCTGAGCCTTCGTGGCACTTAAACAAAAGTAGTCCCTAATAATGTCACTTAATAGAGGCAGAGTCTGTAAATAAGGAACTGCCTTTTGCAAGTCCTGGTGATAAAAAGCTGAGATACAAATCCATATCTCAGCAACACGGTGCTGGTGATCAATCACAGCTCCTCTAATGCTGCCAGCCCGGCTGCTGGGGGTGTTTGCCTTGTGCTAAAGCGAGCCTGGCTGCCGACACGGCATCTCCTCATCCTGTGGGAGCTCCAGAGCTAACAGAATTCCCAGCGTAATGGACCTCACTGTGTTTGCACAGTGCTCTTAACTCTCAAACAGTTCTTGGCAAATGCAGTAAGAATATGATGTGGGCACTAAGAATAACATAATGTCAAGGCAAACAACACAGTATCTTAATCACTGCCCTGTTCTACAGGTTTTGGATATACTGTGCAAGGCACTGAAAAGTGGTCTGATATTTCTGTTATACTATTGGATAGTCTCTTTAAAATATCCTAAGTAGCAATTAAAAATAAACCTAATCAAAACTCCACTTCTTTTCCCTTTGCTCTAAGTATCTTAATGTTTACACTCATGGTTTAGTACTTCACTGAGCAAGTTTCAGTAGTTGCTGATATGGAAAATGAGTAAGGTATTTTGGTATTTTCTTGCTCCTCTTTAGCCCTAAGTGTTCTAGAGGCTTGAGAGAAAGCCATGCCATAATTGTAACCAGCAGCTGTGCTGTGTGTCTGGTGGGAGAGGAGAGCTAATTTGGCATATTTGTTGCTTTGCAGATGGCTCTATATCCCAGTATAGAGTTCATGACTCTGCTTACTTTGAATTTTCTGAGAAGTCGTTTTAAATCAAAATTCTGATTCGTCTAAACGAAATTGTTCAAGGGAAAAGAAACACAAAGGATTTTATCAGTCTAATTCCCAATATTTCCAGAGTTTCTTCTGCTCAAGTGGCTTGGTCTTGTACCTTTGCAGTTCTGGTTTGGTGATACTTGAAGAACATAGAAGTAGCTCCATTTATGATTCTGCTATTCCTCTGCTCAAAGTTCAGTAATAACTTTGAGGGAGCTGCTCAGGATGGTGAAATCAACTACTTGGGACTCAAGTAAAGCTTTGGAGCACAAGTTTTAGTTTCACTGTACCAGCTGTGCAGGAGAGATTCAGGTCACTCCTGATGGAGCTGTGGGGA